AGCCCGCTGGGCTCGCTGCTCCTGCTCAAGCCCACGCTGTCGCTCAGGCGGTGTCAGCAGGCTGCGGAGTGCTGCTGGGGAGGAGCCCTCGGTTGCTCCGCGAGGACCAAGCCCCGCTTTCAGGGGAGGCGTCAGAAGAATTGCCGCAGCTCTCGGGGAGGAACAGCCCATCCGTCCTGCGTGGATGGCATTGAGAAACAGTCCAGGGTGTCGGGTTTGGTTTCAGAGCCTGTCCTGTAGCAACTGACGTGCTGAAGAGTGTCTTTTTGAACAGGGAGCTGTTCTGTAGTAGATAAGTATTTTTTTTAAGGACCTACAGACATAGTCAACAGGTTTATTTCCCACAAAATCGTGCTAGAATTAGATGAACTTTTAGATTTTTCCATCCTGTTGTCCCGCAGTGTGTTAAGCCATAATACAACTTTTTATTCAAAGCAGCAGTTTTCGGCTCTTAAGTTTGGGTCCAGTTGCTTTAGCGTAAAGAGAGGGTTAAATAGTTTGTGAGCTCTCGCTGTCAGTTGTCACAAAACCATAGCCTTCATTCACGATTCCACCTTGATATTCTAGGAGCCACCTCGAACTAGAACTGAGGCGGGAAAGAGACAGATGGTCACACCAGCGCAGCCAGGAGAACAAAAAAAGCGCCAAGAGTTGGCTAAGACAGGTAATATGACTTTCATTCTTGGCTTGTGTTTGAAGTTAGTTTCATTATTCTCGTTTCCTTTTCCTGAGCTTTATTAGGCAAGAAATATGTAGTGTTCATGTGCCACCACACAAGGAGCTTTGCAGTGTTTTTTACACACCCTGAATGGCTGGTTTATTGAGTTGAGCCTCACAACAACACTGTAAGCATTACACTTCATGGCAGGATGTGGGTTTCCTCTTCCAAGCTGGGTACCTGGCAAAATCTTGACAACGATGGTGGTTTTCCTTCACTACTTTAATAAAAACAAGTGATGCAGCGGGAGAGATGCTGTACTCGTTACATCTTGTGAAAAGCAAACTTGTTTGTTTTTATTTTTGCCATCGTAATAAGGGCAATTCTCCTGAAAGAGGTAAATAGCAGAACTTGGAAGACAAAATTATCTCTTGAAGGCATCACAAATCACTTTCAGTGTTCTTTTAGTGCTGCGCATTAGTGAATTCAGCGGGTTTTTTAAAGCAAAATGTGGTATTCATCTCGAGAGTAAAACTCGTAGTCCCCAAGCGAAGCTCCCATTTTTAGCAGTAAAATTGCCTTTGAAAGTGAAAATCTGCTCTGCAGGTTTGTCCGTAAAACAAAGCGGGCTCTTTCGCTGGGAATTGGCTGTAAAACAGTTGTTTTGGAGAACGAAACTTGTAACTGTGAAGTAGTAGAGGTTGCTTCTGCAATTTTGTGTGCTGCTGCACATGAGCGCTGCCATCTCTGGGCTCTCCTGGCCTGCTTGAACCATTCAGTTTTTCCTGAACCAATATTACACACAATTTCAGTGAAGTTATTTACGCGTTGTGAGTCATTTATCAAAAAGTCGTGTTTGCTGCAGCAGAACAGCGATAATTCAGCAGAAGGAATCGGGAACTAAGTGCAAGGCAGTCGGCCGGTAAAAGTGAAAACAAGAAACCCCCAAACCCAAAACTCTTTTGCCACAAAACTTGTAGGTGGTGTTTGATCCAGCAGAAGCTCGCATTTCCAGAAATGTAAGAGCTCTGCTGAGGTCGTAGTCGCAACTTGAGAGCAATGGGAGTGTGGGCGATTCTGCCAGCATGTACCCGCGGGCGGGAGGCTGGTTTGTGACCATCGTGTGTCAGCGTGGTGGTACATGCATTCATGGCTCGGGCTGTGACCCAGGTCTCAGCTGGGGAGGAGGGGGAGGGTTTGTTTCTTTTCCTGGCTGAGAGGATTTGTCTCGGTGATCAGTCTTTAAAAAGCCTGTTCAGCCCGTCTACCTTTTCACCCTCTGCTGTTAAAATAAAATGGGGACCGTGAAGTTGCTTGTACCTGCTAGTCAGCTGAGGTCGTTGGGCGTGTTTAAGAGTCCATCTCTGACATGGGAAGTCAGCTTTGTGTTCAGAGCGAAAGGAAAGGTGTACAGCTGCTCCTAGGGTGGGTTGGTGTTTGTGCGCCTTCACGTGTCCAGATGCATCTCTGTGCCACGGAGGGGCAGGTGGGTGTTCCTGAAATAGCGACGTCACGTCCGCCTTCGCGGTGTGGCAGGGATGAAACTGGAATCTTCATCTCGTTCAGCTGATGGGTCAATGTTTCCTTCTGGCAGGATGGGAAGCTCAGAATCCAGGAAGAAAACACTAAAGTGAAGCAGCCACCAAGAGGGGAGAACAGTGTCCTGCCACACAAGTACGGAAGAAATCTCACTTTTGCCTTCTCCTTTTCTAAGTCCTGCTTCCCCTTCTCTGATTTCTTTGCTGACGGGAAATGTGGAATAGTGCAACTTCCTTTTCTAAGATAGATTTTCAACCTCCCGTTGAGGTCTCCTTGCTGTTTTTTCATAGCTGTCAAAGGGAAGGAGGAGATCCTACTGCTTGCCCTCAGCATTTCTGGGTCTGAAACGCTCTGTCTATCTCCCATTTCCCTTTGAATTTGTTTCTGTATAACTCTGCTGTTGACTCATTTTGCTTACTCAATGAACCTTTGTAAGCCAAACGCTGCAGGGACCTGGGCCTTTGGTACTCGTGTCCAGAGAAGGACACGAGTGGTGGTGGTGAGGGAAAGGAGAAGGGTTGGTGGATCAGTGGCATTTGGAGCTAATAAACAGTGGTTCTGGACAAGAGCAGAAGCTGATGGAGAAGAAGAACTTGAAATAGTATTTCAGGAAGATGGTTGTATGTAGTTCAGGTAGCATGTGTCTAAGATGAATATTACAGAGGAGGATTCTTGTTGTAGGAGTTGCTTAGTATTGGAAAGATAAGTTTCAGATTTGGTCTTAAATGTGAAAAGATGTTTTAAAAGCCACAGGGAACGGCGCTGTAGCGAGGACTTGGCTCGGGGATGGTAACAGCCCGTTGGAAGTACTCTGAACGGCAGTGAGAAGACGCAGTGCGCTGGATGCCAATAGGAACTTAATCAGAAAAGTATTGTCTTAAAAATAGCATAAGCTCAATTCAAATCTGCTTTACCAGCTATTAAAAGCCATCCAGGCCTTAGATGCTTTTTACCCCCGTTCCACCTTGAGCATTTACGTAGTGTGAGCCTCAGGCTGCTGATTTACCCGGAAGGCCTCAAGATGCATCATCACTGCCCGCTCACAGAAGTGGCAGGGGATCAGACATTTTGCAGTGATAAGTTTAAAGCTGGTTTTAAACTGTTTGTAACATCTAAACAGCCTTTTCTATGTCCGTGCTCCCTTTCTTCTGCCCTTCCAAAGGCATTTTACAAGTTTTTCTCCTCCTCTTCCCATCTGGCCGAGAGTGCTGTGTGTCTGAACAGCAGCAGTCAAGTCCTGCTCTTTGCTTTGCTGTTTGACAGAGCTTACGAAGGCCTCGTCTCTCACGTGAGCAGGCTTGGCAGCCTGGTTTTGAAGAAACAAAACCAAAAAATCTGTTACGGGTAGGATTTTAAAAACAGGGTGAGGAAATTCTCTGATCGTCCAGACGTTTTTCTTAACTGAAGCACCAGCCCCAAGTGACGGTGTTCTTCTCTTGCAGGTTCCCGAGCAGCACGCAGGAAGAGCAGGTCGGTGATTCTTTTTCTTGCATTGAAATACCGAAGGGCAGGGGTACTGAGGGAGCTCCTGAGTCGCTGCAGCGTCTTCCCGGCCCAAATACCCTGAAGTTTGTCCTTGGGGTTTTTCCTTGGTGGGAGGGTTTGTCTGTCGAGTCCGTAGCGGCAGCCATTCCTAGTGGAAGAAGCGCTGCTTAGCTCCTTAGAAAGGCTTTTAGTTGGCAGTGCTGCACCTGCACGAGTTCGTTTTGCCGCCTCAGTGCAACCACGTTGGTTTTTAAACTGAGATTAAACCCTTTTATTATTCCAGTGCCTTTCCTGGGGTGGTGTGTCTACACAGAGCAATGCAAGCGTAGTATAACTGAGTGTTTGTGAAAATGGCGGTGTTTAACCTCTTTGGTCTGGGCTAGGGTTTTGCCAGTTGCTCCGTAGGCTGGGGGGAAGGCGTGTGTCATGCGGTTGGTTTTTTCATGTCTGTCAAATTGACCAGGATCCATTCCTTCTCCCCTGGGGTGCCTGGCAAAGCACAGCTAGACCCCGGGCTGTCAGTGGGATGCTGCAGCACTCGCCTTGTGTCCTGTCTACTGGGAATTTCTGCATCTGTCGGCTCTTTTGCACAGTGAAAGAGATGTTTGGTTACCGCCTTGTTGCTGGGCCAGCAGCCTTGGTCTCGGCCTGAAAATCGAGCTGTGTGGTGCTTGGTTCACGCAGCCGTGCTGTGCTAGCCACTGCAGCCATAGATCCTCCTGCAAACACACGGTGGTCCTGCCTGGGTGCAGGGCGTGCTGTGAATAGAGGGGGGTTAAAAACACAGGCATGGGAAACTGTCCTCCTTGTCGTCAGATGTGGCTCGAGCTATAATACAGGTGCCATGTAAAGCAGAACGTCTTGGTTTTTACTTGGGGTTTAGGAACAGCTGACAGGACCTGGAAACACCGAGATCTGCCAGCTCTGCCAGGAGGAAAGCAGCCGAAGCAAAAAAAAGGTAAAGCCAAGGGCTTGTATTGTCATCTCTGTCATCTGGTGAACGTGTGTTTCCTCTGATTTTCATTTTTGAATAGCACAGATTTCCTACCGGTGACTTGGGGCAAAGAAATCAGCCCTTTTCTGAGTCTGTATTACCCTTAGAGTAAGTTAGTTAAACAGCGGTCGCTTGAGGGTTCCCCACTCTGCTCTGTGTTCAAGGGTTTGTTGTTTTTCCTTCCCTTAAGCAGCTTTTTCCCTTTGTAGCTAAGTGGCTTTTTTCCGGGATCAATCAGAAGTGAGAACAGGAGGTGTTAACTCTTTGTTATGTCTCCACTTGAGCCGCCTTGCCTTTTTCTCTTATTTTTATTCTTTTTTGTGGCTAAGCTCCTCTTGCTTCCCTCACTGCTTCCCAGTCAGTAAATCTAGAGGGATTCCAAGAGAGTTATGGAAAAGGGTGTTCCGTGGGAGCGCTGCCTTCACCCAGATACTTGCCTCTACTGCTGCTGAGGATCAGTTTGCAAAGAAACAAGTGAAGGCACCGAGAAACCTCTGGCAGCGCAGCGGGCGTCCTGGTCACAGTGGTGCAAGTACTTCGGGGGGGAGCTGGAAGGCGGCGTTGGGTTGTGTTTTCCCCTCATTGATCTGCCAAGGCCCGAACCGACAGGCTGTTGCGGAGCTGCAGGCAGACGGGCTCGGGGGCAGTCCTTGTGGGCGGCACCGGGGCGGCCGTGGAGGCCTCTGGCCCCCGTGCTGGGTAAAGGTGAACCAGCTCCTTGGTTCCAAATAGGTCTTGGGCAATTTTTTGGGGAGCACAGCGAGGTTACCTGACCAGGAAGCTTTCAGGCTCATGCAGAGAGGCCGTGTCTGGCCAGGTGACGGGTGAGGAGCTGCTGCTCCCCCAGGCAGGGGCTTCCAGCTGCAGCTGCGTGGGCGGTTCTGCCTGGCACAGACGGGTCTGGCGATCGGGGATTTTGCCAAAGGGCCGCTCCCGAGCCAGCTGCCCTGCAGCGCCTGCGAAGGCGGCGTTCCTCGACCGAGTCAGAAGCCAGCCCTCCCCACCGCTGCGGTACCATGATGCCTAGAACAGGCTAGGGGGGCTGATAGCTTCCCCCAGTTGTCCCATGGACCTCCCTTGTTACACATCTGGGAGCTTGATGTAGGATTTCTGGTCTTTCCCATTCCCCTGTGCTTATCCTGAGAAAACACGTGAGTTCAAAGCAAGGCAAATGCTGCAGCTTTATATCTGACTTTGATATGTCTCCAAATGCATGTGCGCATTCAAATACTCGCCTTGGGCCAGGCTGGTGGTTCCAGTGTATTTATATGGCTGTAAAATAGACACGTGCGCTTCTTGTCACCAAGTGCTCTAGCAGAGTGAATCGACACTTCGACAGTTCATTGTTGGTAGCTCTGACCTGCGTTACTACAAGCCTTCGCCTACTCTCATTTGACCTAAGGAGCTTTGCTATAAATTGGTCCTGAGCACAGGAGCAAATTTAGGGTCTTCAGGGGGAACAAGAGTGGAGTTCTGGAGCATCTTTCTCTAGCCCAGTAGAGGATTTGGGTTGACTGAATGTTAACAAAAGAAAAGTCTGTGTTGCTTGTGTCTCAAGCATCTCCTTAATTTCTTTGTCCTCTTCCTGCATTCCAGAACATCTGCAAGAACTGCGGTGGCATCTTCTGTGAAGCCTGTTCAGCTAATGAGCTGCCTCTCCCATCTAGCATTAACCCCGAGCACGTCTGCAATCCCTGCCACAGGCAGCTCATCCAGCAGTATTCGACCAGTCCCTTGTAGGGGACGACTTGCAGAGCGAGGTGACGAAAAAAAAATGGTTGTAGCTGACGATGGTTTCTGGAGTTGTGAATGTGAAGAGGAGACGCTTCCCTGTGTTCTTTGGAGGTCAGAGGGGAAGCGGCTTCGTGCTGTTTACAGTCTCTTGTGACTAAAAACAACAGTCTGAGCGTGCCCTGCGCAAAAATCCACCAGCTCGCAGGCCTGAGCTTGTGCTGGGGAGAACCGCTTTGGGAACGTCACGTGCCGCAGCCCCGCGGTGTGCCCGAGCGGCCTCAGGCACGGTGAAAACAGAGAGCTCCCACCCAAAAAAGAGCTTGCGTGCGTGCACGTGCAAGCCGGGGACGTTCTCGTCCTCAGTGGCGTGCCGTGACAGCGCACTGCTGCCAAGCAAAGGCTCACTGAAAGCGGAACGGGAGCATTTTCAATCCTCATGTCTGGCTGCACTTGAAATGCCGTTTCCCCTTTCCCGGTTGCCTTTGACAGTCTGGCTCAACCGTGCCACACCAGTGCTGGGTGTAAGAAGGCCAGGTGAAACGCCGATGAACGCTTTCTAGCTTCATTTCTTTGGCTCAGCCCTCCGGCCATGGGCTTACTACACAAATCGGTATTGGGGAATCAGAGCTGTAGAGGTTCCCCTCGTGTATTTGAGGGGCTGCAGCAGGGGCTGTCGGTGGATTTGAGGCGTTCAGGATGCGAGAAATGACACCTTGCACTGGTCTGGCACGGAGGCGCCTTAAGGCATCTCTGACCTCCCTCTGGGAGACCCTCACTGTGACTCTCACTGTGACTTTGTGACTATGCAACGGTGGCCAAAGCCAAGGGTGTCGCTGTTCTCCCTGTCTTGGTGTGGTACCTGGAGGAACTGGATTCCCAAGTATTCACATACCGAATCCTCACCACGACACAGAAGGTTTAGGGCCACTTCGATCCACCTCTCCCCCTCATGCACACGAAAAAGTCATTGTAATTCACTGGCGTTTCATTAATTTTTTTTGTTAGATCAAAATGAAGGCGAGATGGAATCGCAGTGCTGTTCACCTGCTAGAAATTCTGATTTGAAACACACTGTAAAGGGGTTTCCCAGTTCAAGCTACAGCCTTCTTTGTTGCTGTTACCTCAAGGAATTTTCTGTTACTCCAGGAAGCGGTGGTGGCTTCCCCCTGAAGCACGTAGCATGTCATCGTAGTGTTTGGTCTGTTTTCTACTGGAAGCCTATTTAAGACCACAGAATGTGTTGTAGTCCATAGAAAACCGGTGTCTTTCTATGTGACAAATGTGTTTGGTTTTGTACACATCTTATTAGGGGTTAGTGGTTTAATTCCTCAGAGGGGGGTTTCTGTTCATTAGACTGGCAGGAACTGCATTATGAAGCGTGTCCGAGCTGAGGTTATCTACATGCTTGGTGCTGTTTGCACCAGGAATTACTCCCTCCCTGCTCCCTCTAGGCCTTGGTGTGTTCAGCCACCCGAGCTCTCCAGCTCCTCTTGGTGCCCTTCAGAGCCAGAGCACTTCACGGGGCAGGGGGGCAACGTTACATGGTTTTCCTGATCTTTTTTCCCCACTCCTGGTGGTTACCAGATCCACTTCCTCGCTGCTCTCCCTTAACGCAGATCAGTAGTTGCACACGGGGCTGAACTACAAAGGCCTAGACCTCGCGTATGGGCGCACTGCTCTGAGGGGGGGGGTGAGATCCCAGGGATGAAGGAGAAGACGCTGAATTGAGTGTTAACTGCTTTTGTGTATGAGCTGTGCACATCTACAGCCTCCCAAGTCCTGCCTCCAAACCCAGCGTCGCTCATACCCATGGAAGAAGTGAGACCTAAGCCATTGCCCCGTTAGCGGATTAAACTGGAAGCGGGGCCCTTACGGTTCGTTATTTTAAGGCTGGGGTGCCCAGCAGCCACAGCTCGTGTGTGACCTGCACCCAGCTTTTGAGCGTGCCGGCAGGAGCAGCTGCTGCTCTGCTTGCTCCGAGTGACGGCTGTGACTGTTGCTTATGTGAAAAGCGTGACAGCTCTGGAGCAGGTCCTTCACCTGAGGTCCTAGGAGCAAGCAGGGAGGCGGCAGCTGAAAACCCTTCAGGATCCAGCTCTGGTGGCTGTGATGGAAAGTGGCATTTAGAAAGGGCAGAGGGAGACTGTGCTCGCAGCCCGCACTCGCCTCTTTCCTGGTCTCTCACTCCTGGATGTTTTACGCATCGTGATGCTGCGGAAGGCCCGTTTGCTCGGGTCCTGCTTGTTACGCTAGAGCACGGGTTGGCAGCCGGCCGTTTGGAGTGGGGGGAGCCGAGGGCAGTTTTTCTGACGTTCATTTTGTCCCACACAGTAATAAAAACTTGACCATCTGTGTCCCGCGTCCTGAGTGCTCTGTCCCTCCCATCCCGCTTGGGCTGCGCCCGTGGAAGTGTTTCAAAACAGGTAACGGGCGAGAGGCTGGCGCAGATGGAGACACGCATGGTAGGAGGGATGAGGTACCAGCTATGTGACACAGTGCCTCTGCTGCCTTCTGTGCACAAGCAGCTTAATCACCGTGGTTTGATTAACTGCGAATACTGGTGGTTTATTAATGCTGTGTACACCATTACGCAGCTGGAGACTAGAACTGCCCCATCCTGCAGCGTCTCCCATTGCTCCAGGCCAGCTGCTGCTGCTCGTGCAACAGACGATCCTGCCACAGTGTGCCAACACTGTTTATTACATGCTTTTATACAACCCTACATGGGACTTTATACAGTTTATCCTTGGTACCAAGCAGCGACACTCGTACTCGATCTTTACGCTCACACCCACGGAATGTGCTCGCTTTGGCCTAAAAAGGAAGAGGAAAAAGAAAAATCACTACCTGGCTGCAGGTTAGTGCTGCTTTTTTTTTTTTCCCTCCAAAGTGCACCACTGCTGTCTTGGTTCCAATAATAGAACAGGAGAATTTAGCAATACCTAAAAAAGCCCTCACCAAAAAAGGTAAGATGGCACAAACAGCTGCAACAGGCGAGACATTTTGACATGGGGCTGCACCACACGCACACACCGGCATGGGGGGGTGTGCTTAATTCCACTGGGGCCCAAGTCCCATGACAAGGACCAGAAAGCTCTGGATGTTCCTGCACCGCGTGGGAGGGAGGTGGCAGCTGGGTGCGCAGCTTGTGTCTGCCCTGAGAGCTTATCCCTGGCCCAGCTTAGGCGGCCAGAGCTGTGGGGGTGTGGCGGGTGCCTGCCCTCCCTGCTGCAGGGGGCCAGGACCACCTGCTGCTGTCAGAAGGGGAGAGGTGGAAGCATCACGCGTTGGCCAGGGACTTCCGTAAAGGTCACAGGACACTCCTTTCCCGGTAGCTCCTGCCTTGCGGTTGCGGAGGGCTGCAGCGGGGAGGGCTGCCTTGTGTTCTCAGCAAGGAGTGGGGCCTGAGGCTGTTTGGGCAGCAAGAACTGCCCCACGGCGCTGTGCCCGCCTGTGTGGGAGGGCCACCCCCAGCACAGCCTGCAGTCCTCCTCTTGTAAAGGGCAAGGAGAGAGACAGTGTCTGTGCAACTAAACAACCACAAACTCCCACTACGCCCCCAGCCCAAAGCCAAGTTACTGTTAATCCATGTCCATGGAAAACGTTTAGCCACATGTCCTCTCCCGTGCCAAGGAACAGCTCCGTGTTTAATCAACCACGCCGGCAGAGTTGTAACGGGAGGAGGAAAACACAAAGCCTCTCCTGCACGCTCCAGCCGGCTCAGCGGTGAAAGGGCAAGCTGCTGCGCGGTACCCGGGCAGCACAGCAACCCCTGCCGGCTCTGGCCGTAACCTCCGGAAGGAGCTGCTGCCCCTTCGCCACAGGCCTTTTACCCCGTGGAAGCTGGAAGAGGGCCCAGGCGCGATGCCTGAGCTCAGCTTAGCTCTGATGTTCCCCTTGGGCCGCTCTAAATTTTAGCCTTTGAAACTGAAATCCAAAGCATCAGCAACAGTAAGCCTGAGGCACACGTTGCTACAAACACGGAACAGGAACGAGGGAAGAAGGATGCACTCACCAAATCTGAGGCCGTGCCGCTGTCGCTAGCAGTCTGCCTTTGCCTTTGGCTGTCCGTCCAGGAAGAGTTCGATGGCACTGCACTCTGGGGAGCAATTTGGGAGAGGCAGTCAGTGTTCAGCGACTTGCGTGCTTGACGTATTGGGGTTGTTTTTTTTGCACAAAGCCAATGGCACATTTTAGTGTAAACTGGAACTCTACATTAGTAAAGATGCTCCTTTTGACAAGCTGTGCCAAACTACGTGAGGATCCGAGGGCTGACACTGCCAGACCCCCTCCGCTTTACTTACGCAGCTGCGACCCCTCCTTAGCCATTGCAGCCACTGCGTCCTCACGGCTCTCAAAGTGCACGTCGGCTGCCGTGGCCTCTCCGTGGGAGTTGTATTCTACTGTCATCCTTGTGGGCTTCAGAGGAGCAAAAAACTGAAAAGGACAAAAAGAGAATTTAAGATTTTTGGTGAGACAGGAATGACAGACCAGTAATGCAGCCCATGACCCAGAAATTTGATGGTTTTACTCCTAAAGCCTGACCAGGGTGCCCCCTTCTCTGTCTGGGTGAAACCAAGGTACACCCAAGTCCCCTGTCCCACCGTACACAGCCCCCTGCCCTCTGTAAGCCCCTGGCAGAGTAATTCTTGACCGTAACACAAATCCTCGCGCGGCACACGTGTTCTGTACGCGTCAAAGTCATTACCTGCAGGTACGTTTGCTCGGTGATGCTGTATGCTATTAAAATGAAATAAAATTGGTATGAAAAAGCTTCTGGAATTCATTTTTGGACAGTCAGCTCCTCTGAAATCTAGCCAAGATTATAAACGGCTCCTCAAGGCCAAGCGACAGGTGTGAAGGCAGCCCAGCAGCTTTAATCCATTCGCAGTTACGGGGGCAAGCGTATCGCTGCGGTGCCTGTGAGGCCACGGCCACCCGGGAAACCTGCAACCCCCAGCAAGGGCCAGTTCCCAAACGCGTTCAGCCCGACGCCGCACAGCGCTGAGGGCTAACACGGAGAGCGAGAAGTTAAAAGCCTGAAGTCACTTCATCGGTAACAATTAATCCGGTAACGACGACAGCACTTCATTCGTTGTTTCACGGCTACTCACGTTTATTATGTCTTGGGCGCTGGCTTGGGTAGGGAAACCCCTCACGTGGACAAAGTGGGGTGGTGATGAGACGCTCCCAGATTCTAAAACGTGCCTGGAGCTTTCCCTTTCTTCCTCGCACAGTTCTGCGGAATGGAGGGAAAAAAAAACCCCAAACCCTCATTAATGCCTGCACTTATCACCGCCCTCAGGGTAAAGCTGTAGACAGGCAAGGTCACGCTGGCAGCAGACAATCAGGGGAAGATGAAGGGGACCCAACGAAGAGACAAGCAGGGAGGGACTCACTGTTTTCTCTTCCAGCATCGGAGCCTCCCGTGTTGCTCATGCCCCCTTCTTCAGAAAGGGATTCCTGCTCTCTCCTCACTCTGGGGTAGGTCGCCATCTGCCTGTCGTAAGGCATGTGCTTTTGCATGTGGTGCCTCCTGCTGACGTACACTTCTATGTATCTGGAATTCAAAGGAAAAGATGTGGCGGCACATCCCGCACCTCCACACGGAACCCAGGCTCTGACAAAGTACCGCCAGGCCGTGCCCCTGCCTCGCTGCGAGTGCCAGGGTACAACAAGCACCGCGTCTGAAGAATTAACTCCTCCAGATGGCACAGCTATGCTCGTGAGAGCCCTCTGCACCTGGCAGGGCCAGCCACCCTCCTGTATAAACCCACAGCCCGTGAGACAGAGCACCAGTCTGGGCCGGACAAAGTCTTTAGTTCACAGCCTTAATCGAAGTTTCCGCAGAAGTAATGCCCATCGCTTACAAGCCAGAATTCTGTTTTGTCACAGAAACACAGGTTGGACTTCCTCTGAAAAATGCTTTCTTTCGGTGGCAGGCCTCGTTTGGGGCAGCCCTGTACGTGAGGCTGTTTTCCCCTCTGCAAGCTGCACTTTTCTGATTTCTACAAACCCCCCAATTAAAAAACCAAACCACAACCCCACCCAGCCCCGAAACAGGCAGGCACAGAAGATGCACAGGGTCAGGTTAAATACCATGGTGGCGCCGCAGGATTTTACACCTGGCTGTGAAATCGATGGGATAAACTGTAAATCGAGGGGGGTGAAAGTCATGGCTGTAATACACCAACATGTGATGCAACATTAAAGGGCTCTGGCAAGTCCAAGTTGCACCACAGACAGAAAAAAATGCCACAAAACCAGCAAACCCTATTCGCAGATTCAGTCAAAAGTACGAAATTCTAATGCCCGATGCCTGTAGCCACCCCAGCACCCCGTAACTCAGCACCGCCTGCGCTAACCGGTCAGAGCTCCGGACGCGGCGCCAGCTGGGCCTCACACCCGTTGAACCGGCAGTGTTACAGCGGGGTGTTTTCACAGCCCCGAAGGAGCACCGCGACGAGGAGAGCAGGGCCAGCCAAGTGAGGGGGCTTCCTCCCCGCCTGAAGGGAGCAGCCAGGCTAAGGGGAGTAACCCCACGGACAGGCGGAGCGAGCTCACAGCTCAGCCCCCGTGACCCCACGCTCGATACTGGGCAGAGCCGAGGGCCGCTTCTGGATCAAACTGACAGCCCAGGAAGAAGGACCAAGAGCAAGGGGACAGCAGTTTTGGAAACGGCTCCTTCTCTCTGCCAACCACACTGAAGGAGAGGTGCAGGCGCTCGGGCAGGTTAGTCAGATCAGCTCTCGCTTGATCATGATGAAGAAAAAATTAGTGGTGGAATGAGAATTAATTAATCTCTACTGGAGGGTTGGAAAATTTAATTCTATTACTGGCCCCACCTACAGAGCGGCCGTTTTCTTTTAATAGGGGCCGGGGGACAGAGGGAAATGCAGCCTGGGAACAGGACGTGAGGAAACAGAAGGGAGCAGGTGAGGTGGTAAGGTTTGGAGGGCTTTTGTTGTCTGGTGTTCAGACAGAGAGGTTAGTGGTTATTAAGAACATAAAGCTTATCAGAGTAAAAGCAATCTTGTTGGTTTTTTTTTCCCCTGAGCACAACTCTGGAGGTATTTAAGGTGTGTGGATGGGGTGCTTCGGGACAAGGTTCAGTGGCAGATCTGGCAGCGTTTAGGTTAATGGTTGGAGTCGATACTTTTAAAGGTTGTTTCCAACTGAAATGGTGCTGGGAGAAAGCGGTATATGCTTCTGCGGGAGGAAAGAGAGGCTCCTGTGAGACAAGTGCGTGGCACAGGGCTCGGTGCTCTGGAAGAAAATGGTTCAACGTGGATTCCCCAGGAAGGAGGTCGGCCCAGGGGATGCGGTCACTGAACGACGCGAGGATTGCCTGGCCTCAGGAAGGGATTCAAGCCCGAGGCGAGTGGTAACCTGCGCTTCCACAATGTGCTCTCCACGTGGAGACACTGACTGGGCTTGTACTGGGCTGAGGGGAAGGGTGAGGGCTGCCAACACTGTGGAAAGCACCAAGGAACCTGGTGGAAACTGGGCAGGGGGCGATGCCTGTAGGAGGCGCAGGATCCCCGTGCGCTTGTGACTGGGCAGGCGCTGCCAATCTGGCATTCCCCGTGCTGAACGCTATCCCCTGCTTCGGCTGGGGTGAGGCTGCCTTCAGGAAAGCTTAACAATAACCCAGACTTTCTCCGAGAAGCCCCAAATTGCCCCAAGCTACAAGCCCTGAAGGTGCCTCTGCAGCACACAGAAGCCTGCAAGAGGCTTCACCTTATTTTCTCCAGTTTTGTCAAGGTTCTACAACAAGCATCAGCAGAGGAGGCAACACTTGGGTTACACAGGCTATTTCAGAGGGTGCTATTAAAAAGGAAATGTTTTAAGCCACAAAGTAACAGTCTGAGACCACTACGAGAAATACATAGCTATGGTCTCTACAGAAAGTGGAATCTGAAGACTGAGTTCTAGGTTTTAAGGGTAAAAAAGGCAGAAGCCTCCTTAATAATAATGTGAGTAGGGGCTGGCCTAAGTTCAGCTGTTTCACCTGGTCAGAAGCAAGCTCTAAGTCAGGCAGCATGCTTCACAGCGTGTTCTTCCACCCTTGTGAATCCCAGTGAAGCACCTACCTACTTCCCATGTATTCCCTGTGTCGTAACAGGGCTTTAGCTGCCATCTCAGGAGCTGCAAACTGCACGAAAGCTTCTCCTGTTTTTCTTTCTGCCCGGTACACGAAAACTATGTCAGTAATTTTCAAGCCTGCAGGAGAGAGGGGAGAAAAACGCACTTACGTTGTGGAACTTGTACCCTGCCTCAGAGAGACATCTCTTTCCTGACTCGTCTGGTTTCTGACAAGCTCATCAGGCAGCTGAATAGCTCTGACACAACTGCTCATGCTGGCCCGTGTACCTTACTTAAACTTTAACTCAAATTCATTTGCTTTGTTTAAGTTAACTTTCACAGAAGGGTTAACTGCCATTAATGAATCGACTTGAGGCATCAAGTAACTATGAAAATAACATGTGAATCCAAGTTCTAGACAAGAAGGTGCAGAGCACAAATGTTCTTGAAACTTATTATTGTGGTATTTTTTTTCCCACCTCTGAAAAACCCAGCTCAAACTGACTGAATTTCAATTTTTGTGCTGTATACTAGCTTCTTGGGGAGCCTGTAATCCAGTGCCCCCTGCTGCTGACAGTTTGCAGTGGCATACGTGATCTGACTGTCATGATGCTACAGCTGTGAATACCCACGCTGCATTCACTTGCACTGGAACTACCATACAGGCACTTATCCTCTCTTAACTTTGGCAACTTATGCACTGGTAGCAGTCCGATTGCAGGGAATAGGATTGAGGTTCTGCTCTTTCCTTCCCCTGGTCCCCAAAAAGCGCTGCAAGAACTAGCTTAGACCTGCAGGAAGTCAAAGGTGCAAGAAAACCGAAAGTGTCTGCATAAAGCTTTAGTTCCTTCCAGCTGCAGGGTGACAGCAACCCCTTATACCGCGGAAGGTGTTCAAGGCTGCACGCGCGTTTGCGTTCCTCACCTAGAGGAACAACAGCCTATCGAAGTGTCGCCTTGGAGAATGAAACGCCTCGTAACCAAAGAGCACGGATAATGCGGAGTTACCTGAGAAAAAGTCTTCAATATCCTCCTCAGTGGAGCTGAACGGAAGGCCTCTGAGTAGTACAACTCCATCATTCATGGCTTGTGACTCATCCCGCAGATTTCGTAGTAAGCCCTCCACATCACTGTCGTGTACTTCAAAAACTGCAAGGAAAACAGGCACAAAACGTGTTTTCCCTCTCGGTACCCAGAAGGTGGCACTCTGCAGGCGCTCTTCTAAGGCAGCTTTTTTTCCCCCCTGCAAAACTTCACACCGTTTCTTCCCCCACCCCGTACTGTCTGGTCCTGCCACTTTGCTTTTCCTGTCCAGCCTAAGAAGTTTTGGCTTAATGGGGCCTTCCTGGCTAATTTGCCGTTCTGCTCCACATCCTGCTTCTCTCCAGGCTGCCCCCCTCACACCAGCCTGCTTTACTATTCAAGAAGATCTTATTCCTTTATCAGGAGTTTTCCTTCCAAGGTACTCGCTGCTGTTTCAGACCCACCTTTCACGTAGCGTGGGCCCATATACCGCAGGTGCTTTTCCAAGGCTCTCTGGACATCCGCTTTCGACTCCAGCTCGATCAAGGCATCCCCCCTGCGTCTCCCATCCCTGTTTAAGAGGAAGTGTATGCCGTTCTCACCGTTTCGAATTCTACAGCCTAGAAACCAAGGAACACACGATACAGAAACATACGAAACTGCATCAAACACGGAGGACTTTGGTGAAAACTGAGCATTCTGCATACAGCTATCCCCCTCAGCAGTGCAAAATACTGTCTTGAAACAAGTGAGAGGAAACTCCTATTTCTAACCTTAACTCTAATGCTTATCGCAGGTAAGAAAATTATTTGTCATCCATTAGCTTCCAGAGCTGTGCAACTGGGAAAGATGTAGTTTTATACTGCTGGTAAACTTAATCGTTTCCGGGTTATCTGAAATCGAGCATGACTGCTACAGCCTTTCAGTCTATATAGATATACTCTGCCCACTCCATGTTCCTCGCCCCTAG